AAACCACATGAGATTCCCATGGGCACACTCACAGTTTGAGAATAAAATTGGATTTGTAGGCTGCTGAGTGATTCCTCATGGTGTTACTGCTTCCCTGTGGGAGGAGGTGCTGGTCACAGCCCTGCCTGCATCCCTTTGGAATCTCCATCCCCAGCAACAACACCTCTACCTGCCCCTGCCATAACTGAACACAGATGCAGTGGGTTTTACTTCAGTTCCTCTATGAAGGGTTTTTGCTTTATGTCTACACATATTTTCGTAGTCATATTTCATTACAGTCCCTCATTACCTTATTACAGGGATGGAAACCTCGTCCCTGGACGGGTTGGACAGGGCTTGGAGCAACCTGGTCTAGTGGAAGGTGTCCCTGCCCATGGCAGGGGTTTGGAATGAGATGAGCTTTAAGGTCCCTTCCAAACAAAACCATTCTGTGATTCTACAATTCTACTTTAATGAGTCTCAGGAAGGTGATTTGGTACCTAATTCAAGAGCATATTCAGCAGTTGTTCACTAACTTTGGTCAATCCAGGCTTCACCATCAGTAGTTAAATAGTTTTATATGGAAATAATACTACATGACACTGATTCAGAATCTTCCACTGCATATTAGGAAAAATATATACCCAGTAGCTTTAAAAATTAGATGCAAAATAGCAAATCCTGCAGTGTGTGAGTTGAGGGTATTTTTATACACATAAAAAAGCTGAGGGATGACAAACAGAAATGATGACAACTCAGGCACATTTCTACATGGTTTTTTGCTTGTAGCATGACCACCACCTAGTGGGACACGGGCAGCCAGTGCATAAGGGCTGGTGTGTGCTGGTAAGTGCAACAAAATCCAGCTGCTCATGTGCCTGTGTTTGTCTCTGCTTCTGTGCTGAAATACCGAGGACTTCAGAAAAGCTTGGGTTTATGTGTAGTCTTCTATTTCCCAGCAGCTGGGTTTCACATACTAACAAAAATCACTCAATGCCAATGTCTCTGCTATTCAAACATATCTCAACATCTATAGACTCAAAATCATAAGAGCTGATCTTTTTCTAAAACTTCCTTTTCTCTCTGTGTTTTCCTTAATGTAACTAATATGTCATTTATCGAGGAATAAAAATGAATATTATATTATATCACATTACATTGCACTATATTGCATTATATTACATTATATTATATTATAGTGGCTGAAATACTACAATTACCCAGGATTTACAAAAAAAGTTAGGTACTGTGCTGTCTTTTTTTTTTTAGCAGTGTCAGCAACACTGTTGAGGTTCTGGAGTGTGTCCAGGGAAGGGAATGGAGCTGGGGAAGGGTCTGGAGCACCAGGAGCAGCTGAGGGAGCTGGGGGGGCTCAGCCTGGAGAAAAGGAGGCTCGGGGGGACCTTCTCACTCTCTGCAGTTCCCTGACAGGAGGGGGGAGCCAGGTGGGGATTGGTCTTTTCTCATAAGTAACAAGTGATAGGAAAAGAAGAAACAGACTCCAGTTGCACCAGGGAAGCTTTAGGTTGGATATTGGGAAAATTTCTTCACTGAAGGGGTTGCCAAGCCCTGGCACAGGCTGCCTGGGGCAGTGGTGGAGGGATTTAAAAGCCATGTAGATGTGGCATTGGGGGACGTGGTTAGTGGTGGCCTTGGCAGTGCTGGGAGAACGGCTGGACTTGATGATCTCAGAGGGCTTTTCCAACCTAAACAATTCTATGACTCCATGGCAGGACTGTGCCTGTTGTCAGCAGTTCCCACACCTGCTCCATCAGTGAGAGCTGCTAATTCAGCGGAAGTTTTGCAGTCAGTTTCGGTGGAACTGATGTTTAAGAACTCCTCTCCTCAATGTAAGTTCTGCCTTCGGCCACTGTGTGGTGCATCGCTTGTTTCTGCAGCCCCGGGGCAGCCTAAGGAGTGTTTGTCATCCTCCCCGTGTGACACTGGCAAACAGTACCTCCAGGTGCCAATGCAGGGAGATATGGTGTATAGACAAGGTGGTTATTTGGCAATTTTTTAAAGAAACATCAATATAATGACATATAACTTAGATACAGACTGAAACAAGGAAATTCTCTCCCAGACCTGAGCTTTCCTGAAGTACATGCACAACTGCGGCTTGTGCTACAGATGTGAGTCCAGCTGTTATTTCTGGATGTCGTTCTGAAAATCCAGGCCATGATGCATTTTTTTTCTCTTGGCTCTAATTTCTGCTCAAACACTTCTTGAGAGACGTGACAGCTTTGCACAGCAAATACAGTCAGTGCTCACTGCACTGCAAAGACCTTGAGAATCAGTTTGGACCTTGGAGCTAATCTGATTTTGCAGGCCCTTGATTTCTGAGGGTGACAAGGTGTTTTTTTCTTCTGGAATATAGTCCTAATATACCCATTTCCTGTGCCAGGCTGCTGGATTTAAAAGAGGCAGTGCTGTTTAAAGTGTTCACTGTGCAATGAGAAGTTTGATGGTCAATATTGCAGATGCTCAGGAGCAAGGCAGCAAATTTATGCTAACCTGAAATTCTTGCATTCAGTTTGCTTTTTCTTTGTGTTTTAGTACTGTGCATCAGTTATAGGTTCCTCATTTCCTCCTGATCTCAAAAACAAACAAACCAGTTGAGTATTTTCCTCCCCATGCTTTTGCTAAGCTGTTCAGCAGCTCTTAGACTTGTTCTAAGACACACAGCATTGGTATTGCCATGCTAAAAACATTCCCAAACATGTCAGGACTTTGGTTCTTCTGCAAGTCCTGGTGTTTTGGAACCCATTCCCACCTCAAACAATATTGCCAAGATAAATTGTTTGCCAGAGATAACTTCAGGTCCTCAAACAAATTACCTAACAAATGTTGAAACATAACTGCTGCACAAAACAAATTGTTTCCATGCTTCCTGTCCTCTTAGGAAGGAACGGAGCTTATCTCTGTTCCAGATTCCATAGAGACACACACAATGCCTTCACGTGAGTTGGATAGACTCTGGGAGTTTTGGAATGCTTCACATATCAGAGGAACATATGAAATATTCATGCCTCATTTATCCTCCCCTCAGAAATGCAAATACTGAAATTCAAATGATTTGTGTAAGGACTCCCAATAGTTTGGCAAAAGGCAGCAAAGCTGCTCAGGGGCTGCAATGGGAAAAAAAGGATGAGTTTAGAGGAATCTGTCATTTGTTTTAGCCCTTTCCATCTCAGGCAGACTGTAGATGCTGAGGGTTTAATTATGTGCATGTTTGTAAAGTCCCAAAGGTTTGTCATTTGTGTAGATATTTCCCCATTGAATCCTGCTTTGTGTGAATAATGTGTTTAAATTCTAACTAATTCTAGCTAAAAAGAAAAGCTGTTTTTCATAATCCATTCCCATTGCAGCCTTTCTCTGAACCGAACCACATCTGCAGGGCTGCAGGTGCAGGGTGATAACATTGTGACACATCTCCTATTTTTAGACCATTTTCAATCCCTCCACAACACAGTCTGAAGTAAGAAAATAACCTTATTTTCTCTCTGGCTCTCTGCCTATGTGGTTAACTTTAAGATGTACCCCTTTGATATTAACTGAAGCAATGGTGATTTACAGAAATTAATTTCTGAATCTTATTGTCTGAATCTCTGGTTCCTTCTGCCCTTCTCCTTTTGAGTTGCTGTGGTCCATGGGCAGCAATAAAGAAATACAGAACAGTTGTGCTTGGTCTCAGAAAAGGGGAACTGTGTAAAACTGAGGAAACCTTTTAAGAAGGTAAAAGGAACTCCTAAGATGCTAAAAGCTTTTGAAGAAACAATGTAAACATGATCACCAAGGCAGCCAAAGTGCACATCAGTATCAGGAAAGACTAGAAAAAGCGCAAAAAGGAGCAGCAGAGCTCAGGAAGTTGTTAAAAACAAGTTACATTCAGAGAAGAAAATCGAAAGAACCATAAGCACTGATCCGTTAAACACAAACCACAGCAGAGGTTGTTATAAAACCAAACTGAGGGACAATTGAAACAAAGCATAAAAATGTACAATAAACGCTTTTTCAAGTAACAGGGAGTCTGCTGAGAAGTCTGTAGAGCTAATAGGGAGACAAAACACTCAGAAGACAAAGAAAGCATGGGTTCTGAGAGCGCCAGCTTTCTCTAAAGTGAGATCAGCTGCACTTCAAATTCTCCTGAGAGGTTGGGTTTGTTTTAGTATAGGGAAATGAGACTAAATGCTTGGTTGATGCAAAAGGAATACAAACAACTCTTGTGCAGTCAGCCAAAATATAGCTTCTAGAAATGATACCTACAAGAGTCACTGAAGGAGTGCCTGCTGTGGGTAGGGGGGTTTTTTGGTGCCTTAGATGAAATGGACTGCTGAGTCTTTTCCCTGCCTGTTGGCAGGAGCCACCAGTGGGAGCGAGTGAAGAACCCACTTACACTGAGAGCCTAATAAAACAGGATCAGAAATCACAGAATCAGAGTAGTTTGAGCTGGAATGGTCCTTTTAAAGGTTATCTAGTCCAACTCCCCTCTGCCACAGGCATCTTCAACTAGACCAGGTTGCTCAGAGCCGCATCCAACCCAGCCTTGAATGTTGCAGGGATGGGGCAGCCAGTGCCAGTGTTTTACCACCCTCCGTGTAAAAAACTTATTTCATCTATCTAATCTTAAACTGACTCTCCTTCAGTTTAAAAGAGTTGGGAACACCCACAGCCTTCATCCTCGGGCAAGAGATCCCAGAATCTGCACCCCAGCACTTATCCCGGAGAGTTTCCTAGAAACTCGGCCGCGTCTCTGCCTGAATTTCCCTTGGAGTGCATAGTAAATAAATAAAAGGAGCAAATGCAACTTCCCGGGGTGAGCTCAGCGGTCGGGACAAGCCCCTCGCGGAAATGAGCCATCCCGGGACACGGCGTTGAGCGGCCCCGGTTGAGGCGGGGTTTGGGGGCGGCCGGAGCCGGGGTCGGAGCCGGAGGCAGAGCCAGCACCGCTGCTCGTCCCGCACCGTTCCTCATCCCGGCCCGCTGCTCATCCCGCGCCGCTCCCGGTGCCGCCGCGCCCGCGGTGCCTCCCGGCGATGCCGGCGCTGCCGGCGGTCCTGGCGCTCGTGGCCGCGGCGCTGCTGGCGCTGCTCGGGGCCCGGCGAGCGACCGCCCCCGGCGCCTGGTCCCCGCTGAAGCGCTGGGCCCTGGGCTGCCTCCTGCTCTGCCACGGCGCCTGGAGGCAGCGGGCGGCCGCAGGAGGCACCGCCGAGCCGCGCCGGCCGCGCCCGCTGCGCCCCGACCCGCATGTGAGTGTCCTGGCACCCCCCGATGCTGAGACCCCCTTCCCCGGGAGCTCCTTCTGCGGCGCTCCATTCCCACTCCCTGGCACTTCTGTCTCTCCCATTCCTAGCATCCTTATGTCCTTGCAGCCCTGGCACCCCTCTGCTGGCACCCCATCCCCAGCATCCCCATGTTCCCCGTGTCTTGGAACTTCCATTCTCTGGAACCCACGTTATCCCATAACACCCATACTTGGACCCATACTTCCCTAGACCCAGGCTACCTCCATCTGCGCCCCTCTGCATCCCCTGCATCCCACCCTTGACACCCCTCATCCCTCAGGTATCCCCATTCCTGGCATCCCTCACAACCCAACCCCTGAAGCCTCGGGACCCACATCCTTTCCCCCCCAGTCAACACATCCAAGGGAGGGTGGGGGATGTCACCTTAACTGACTCTTGCAGGAAGAGGGATCACCTCTAGTCAGTCCAGTTGGTGTCCATGGGAAAAAGCAGATGCACTATGGGACTCAGAAGCATTTTAATTTAGCACATTCAGTGAATTGAATCTAATTTTGCAGGTGCACTTGTCTGCTTAATAAATAAAAAACCCTCTATCTACAACCTGTACCTTGCCTGTGTCCATGGAGCACCCTGCCAAAATACTCCCAGTGCCTAAAAGGGAGATTTACGTGGGCTTTGCTGTGTTATTTGGTGAGAGGGGGAAGCAGAAAGGCTCATGAGACAGGATTGCCCTCGCTTTTCTTTGCCTCGTCAAGATTCAGCTTGCAAATGCCAGCTGAGATTTTGGATCCTGAGTAATTTCTGTGAAAAATCAACTTCTGGCTAACATTTCCTGGAGTGCATTAAGGCTTCTGCTTGGCCTTTAAGAAAGAGGAAACTGTTTTCTCCAGCTTTTCCTTTCTGCTAATTAAACTGCTGCTTGGAGCGTTTGAAATGTTTTGCCAGTCTCTCAGATTTGATTGGGCAGGAGTGATACCATCTTCCAAATCAAACTGACATCCAGGGTGGTTTGAGATAGAGCCAAGGGGTCTGTGCTTTCCTCTGTGCTCTTCCAAGCAGGAACACTGGAGTAATACTTCCAAGAGAGGCCTAAAAACAGATCTGGAAAATGCTTCCAGGAATGGTGTCTCTGAATTTTTTGCACTGGAGACTTTCTCGGTGTGTATTTCTGGACTCTGTGCCCTCCAAATCCCTCCTTACCTCTATGCATAATAATCTGATTTTAGTATTTTTGAGGACTTTACAATGGCTACTTTTTTAGGAGGAGAACTTAATCCACACCCCAAAATGCATACAGAAATTTAAATTTCCACATTCCAGCTTTTAGAACTTTACTTTGAGCGACTTCTCTACAAATATGTGAAAACACACATCAGAATTTGAACTTGTGGACTTCTGTTCCTGGAGTTTTAAGATTTGCCCTGCACCAGCCCAACCTCTAATTATGTTGAAGTCCAACATTTCCTAGTTACTTTCTTACATTTCTTTCCTATCCTTTTTCCTTTTTAGTTCTGTTTCCCCTATATGTAAGTTGTCCCACACACAATTTGGAGCTAGATGGGGAAACAGCGTCTTCGTGGCTGAATTTCATCCTGACAAACATCCTTTGCGAGGACACATTTTATAAGGATTTTGCTCAAAGGAGCTTCTTGTTACAAAATAATCATCTTAATTCAGGATAATATTTCACCTCGTCCATGGCTGTCGTGCAATAATTATGTCCCCTCTCTAAAACTGCTTCTCATCTGCTCCCTCTCTGCTTTCTATATTTGCTTTGATGAGATGGGCAAAAAAGAAAGGAAAAATGCTTTTGTGGCAATGAATGATGTGATCATTGCACACCAGATTGTCTGAATGTTGTGGATCTGAGTCATTTTTAAGCTGTCCTGTCTTATGACTGAGGTTTCACTGCTGCTTGCAAAACTCTGTCTGTTTGCTGGGGTTCCTGCTATGAAATATAAAAGCGAAAGTAAAATTTTATTCCTAAGAAGTCTATGGGAAAAAAAAAAAGAATTACTGACCTTTTCCCCTCCCTTTCCTGCCTCCAGCAGGAACTGAAATCCATTTCCCTTTCCCCAGGCTCTGGATTCCGTGTACTTCACTGGCTTTGCAGAGACCAACAAGACCTTTGTGATTGCTCGCCTTGCCAAACGTCCTGCGGGGATGTGTGAGATGTGGCTCTTCCTGAGGGTGGAGGGAATAGGGGAGTTTGAAGTAAGTGGTGGCTGTGGGGTGACATCCAGGAGAGATGCTTAACTCCTGCCTTGAACCCCTGGTAGGATCCCGAGCAAAAATGAATGTTCTCTATGTCTTCACCCCCTTAACATCCCACCAGTAAGACACCGGTGCTGTGTCTGAAGGCAGTGGTAGAACTGGCCAGAGTTATGATTATGTCTTGTTTTGTTTTCCTGGTAGGATCTGACACTCATTCGCTTTTTCCCATAATGTGCAAAACCCGGCATATTTTCTTTAAAAATAGCTTGGTAATTCTCCCAGGAAGAATTAGAGCCTCCAGTCTTTCCCATAAGGCACAGCACACGGTTAATTAATTACATTGTAGGGCCATGGTTGATTTTTTTCCCCTTTTTTGATGAGTGAATGCTATAAAAACCATTGTGAAATTGGCTCTTTAAAAGAGAAGAGAATGTTTTTAGGGAGTTTTCTTGCTGAAAAGAAAACTCCCTGTGGCTTTGCTTTTTTTGTTAATAGTGACTACACAGTGAAGAAGAGAAGGTCTGACATAAATCCCTTTGCACTCAACTATCTCTGTTCACAAATTTGTTTTGCTAAGTAGCCAAGACCAGAAAAGGCAGGAGAAATCCCATTTACAGAATATAGAAAAATAAAAGAGAAGATTGATTATTTTGGTTTTTTAGTAATATTTAGTATAACAAGATCCTTTGCGGCCTTGTTCCTCAGAACTGCCAGACAAGTTCTGAACCTTCTTAGATCCTTCTCTACAGCAAAGAGGCATAAACTGTCTTTTAGACAGGTGGCAACTTTAGGGAACAAGGCATATTTTTCAAAGAGCAGATGTAGAGTTTGGGGAGCTTTCATGCACTGAATCACTTCAGAGTTTCATCAAATTGAGACTAAAAATAAATTTAGCCCCAAAGCTCTGCGTGACTTGGCTGTAATCTTGACAGTGTAAGGAGCATGAGCTCATGACCTCCCTTCACACAACTTGTATTATCTGAAATAATAACGTGTTATATCTCAGGTGTTTTAGGTGCAAATTTCCCTCTCTAATAACCTGATTACCAGACAGCAATAGAACTGAAAGGCCAGTTCAACCACAGAGGACCCTCAGAGCAGGAATTCTCCCACGGTGCAGCCTCACAACTGAATTAAGCAAATGTTTGCCTGAAATGTTTCCTCTTTTTAGCACCCACAACATCCCAACATGATGGTGCCTGATGAGTCTGAAGAGATCTGGAGTGGAGGAGGGCTCACTATTGAATACTTGGAGCCCCAAATGTGCTGGAAAATAAGCTTTGATGGATTGCTCAGGTATTGCAGCATTCTCTAGTTCCATTTATCTACACTTGAGACCGAGGCTTTTTCAGCACTGTCTGGAATTATATTTAACCAACTTGAACCAAAAGCCATTTGGTAACTAACACACATTGATTTTTAAGGAATGAAAATATATCTGCTAATATATAGTATTACGGTTCTACCTTAGCACACAATAATGTAATTCTTCTGCACTGTCTCCTATTCCATCCATTTCCAAACATGTAAGAAACATTTTGTTGTTTGTTTAGGAGTGATATAAAATTATGGTGCTTTTCCTTACAGGAAAGGACCCTACAGACAGCAGTGGAGTGAAGAGGAAGGTGAACTTGTACCAGTTAAATTCTCTTTGCAGTAAGTGTTTCACCTTTGCTTTGGGATGTACAATGGGTTCATGGTTCTTTTAAAATGGCAAAAATCAGTATTTTCCAATAAAATATTAAGATTACCACTGTCAGAGTAACAAGTGCACAACTTGGCATGGTATGAGCTGAAAGCTAATAATGTCTTTTACTTTTTCTTCTCTTTTCCTAGTTGGGAGAACTTCACAGAAGTTTTTAACTTTAATGTTGACAGTCACCCCAGCACATTTGCACGAGCTTTCGCCCAGGAACCCTGGACCATCCAGTTCTTCCAGAGGGTCAAAAAGTGAGAGGCAAGATTGATGTCTTCTGGGGTTAATAGTAATTTTTCTACAGATCTCCTCAGTTTCTATCATGTGTTATATTTGATTTTAGAAGGTGGGTTTCATTTGAAGTGCTCTAGTGAAGGACGTGACTCCTGTCAGGTGTCTCCTGGTTTCAGTACCACACCAGACCTGGCAGGTTCTAAGGAGGGTCCTGCACAGAGACAGGGTCTTCCTAAAATGTGGATGAACAGACCTGTCCACACTTTTGGTCTATAAAACCTTAAGCTTTAGGAATATTTCTTATTGTGTCTTTTTTCATTGATTTAGGCAGCTTCCAAAGCCAATGATCCAGGTAAAATTAAGCAAAGGATCGAATATAATCATGTGAAAGAAGAGCAGAATTGGGTGTTTTAATTACTATACAAGCTTTGGAAAACTGAAAAAAATGAGAAGAAAATATGAGTGTGTTGTCTAAATAGAAGAAAAAGATCTGTATAGCAGTAGTGTGTGGTCTTTGGTGATACCTGCTGATTTCTAAGCAGCAAACTTTTGGCAGCCCAGCATTTTTTATAATCTATTAAATCTGGCATGGCCATGGTCCAGATGCTCTGAAATCTCCTTCATTGTGGGATATAAATCCATCAGATTAATATTCAGGCTTCTTGAGGAGACTTGATGATGTTGCCCGTGCTGGTTCTGTCTTTTCTTTCTTCCAGACAAAGGGAACAACATTCCCGACACGAGCAGTGGGGCCAGTCCGTGGGAGAAATTGAAATAGAAAATCGTGAGAAAATTGAACTTTCCCTCAAAGGGGTTCGGAGCCACTCTTATGGTAACAGCACCAGAAAGAATTCCCACTCTTGGGAATACCTTCACTATAGCTGGTACTGCCAGGGCACTGGGACTAAAGATTATCTTTAAAAATAACCATTTCCATGGCTGGGCATGAAGTTAAGATATTTCAGGGGAAATACCATTAATATTTTGGGGACATGCATATGCTTACAAGCTTGTCAAATACCGGCTATTTCTTTATCCAAAGTTAATGACAAGTCAAGTACTGTTAGTTCACATTTTCCAGCAATGGTGAACTTGAGGTTGGGTGATTTTGTTCTTTTTTTGCAGGTATCAGGAACTGGGCTGAGATTTACCGTTATGTCATGATTTTGGCACACTTTGAAGTAGGTATTAACATATTAACAATGTGCTACTTAACCAGGAAATTGTTTCTGAGCTTGTCAGGCATATTTAATATCCAGAAATAAGGTGTTGGGAGCATCCACAGTGTGCAATCAGAAGTGCTCACCAGTGCCATCATCAGCACATACCAGTATTGGGAGCAGCTCTCAAAAGCAGAGCTGTGTGTGTAAAAGCTGAGATTTTACAACACTGTTGAACCAAAAGTTGTTTTGGTGACTTGTAACTGTTTTGTTTTTTTTTTTTAAAGAAAAATTAAATGGGCAGCTTTACAGGAGAGATTCTCAGCTGCTGCAAGTACCCAGCACACTCAGTGGAGTCACTGCAGTGATGATTCACACTAATTGGGAGCCTGAGGTGTTTGAAGAATCCTAAGCCTTCGTGACAGCACTCAGGAAATATTTTGGCCTGTGCTGAGCTCTAATTCTCTCTTTGCCCTTGTGGCTGGAGGAGAGTCAGGGCTGCTGGGACAGCACAGCCCCGGGGAACTGCTGAGGGCTGGCCCTGCAAGCTGCCAGCCAACCCCACCAGATGCTCCTGAAAAGGCATTTCCTCTGCCAGCTCAGGCATAAAGAATTCTAAACTCTCATTATAGCCAGCATTACGGGAGTTAAGACTGAATTCAGAATAAAAGTTCTTTTCCTGGATATGTGCTGGCCGGCACAAAAGCACAGCTTGAAAAATCCCACCTATGTGCAGGTGTTGTGATTTAACATGTGCCTGTGTACCTTTTAATAAACCTGTGCTACAGTACCACAATGTGTATAATCAGGTAGCAACCTCTCCCTTTTTGTCATAGCTATTCAGGACTCAAATAACTGTGGCTGCTCTACTCCTAATTAAAAGCCATCTGACTTTGCTAAGAAGTTTACTGCTGTTTGAAGTTTGGAGTCCTCATACCCCAAGTGTCTGTACATTTATAGCATCACAGAGTAGGCTTAAATCTTCCTCAGAGCAGCCCAAGTGGAGCATGAAGGGATTCAGACTGAAAGGCAGAGAAGAAATTAATAAGACCACAAAATTCTAGCTCCTTCTTATTTAACATTTTTCTGTACCCTGCTCTTGGGCACAGAATATAGGTTAGAAGAGGTGTCTGGTCAAAGAGGGACCCATCAGTTTTGTACATCTTTGCAGGTATTGTTTCCCCCCTCTTATATCCACTTGCTATGGACTTTTTGTTGTCCTTAATGTCCTCAATTTATCCTTAATGTTTTTGGTTTATGTTCTTGTGCTCTCATTTGCAGCCAGACATTCATGGAAAATGTACTGAGAGGAAGAGGATGTTAAAGTATGAAGACATAGCACATTGCAGAACCTGAGTTATATCCAATGTCTTCTTGGTCAAACCAGTGAATAACCCACAGAAACGAGTCTGCAGAAATTTGACTGCTTTTCCTTTGTTTCTCTCTTGCAGGATGGGACTGCAGCACATTTAACAGTTATTAATATTCCAGCTACCACAACTAAGTAAGTAGCCAAGGAAGTTTATGTTGCTAAAAACAGATGTCTTAAAGGTGATCAAAGCTGCTCTGCAGGATATCTCTAGGCACATCCTTGCTTTGAACCTGTACAGCCCAATTTCCATCCATACCCTCTTGCTCCCTACTCCCTTCACCCAGTTTTTCATTTGCAGTTAGTCATAAGGACAGCTTTTACCTTCCCTTGCTTCCTTTCCACTCAATTACTGTTGGGCTGATGCAGCTGCCTGTATAAGTGTCAAGATAATTTAGAGGCACCAGCTGAGCACTTTCCAGGTGTTTAAGAGGGTGTGTCCAACTGTAGTGGGGCATTCCACAGGGAGCCCCACCTTGCTGACTGGTGCTCTGTGCATCCAGAAGATTAAAGACCAGTGTTCATTGCCTTGGGACCAAGGTTGCTCCAAACCCCATCCAACCTGGCCTTGAACACTTCCAGGGATGGGGCAGCCACAGCTTCTCTGGGCAACCTGTGCCAGGGCCTCACCACCCTCACAGGGCAGAATTTCTTCCCAATATCTCATCTAAATCTGCCACTCTGGCAGTGGGAAGCCATTCCCCCTTGTCCTGTTCCTCCAGGCCCTTGTCCAAAGTCCCTCTCCAGCTCTCTTGGAGCCCCTTTAGGCACTGTAAGGGTCTTTAAGGTCTCCCCAGAGCCTTCTGTTCTCCAGGCTGAACAATCCCAATTCTCTCAGCCTTCATGCTGGTGCATTTGAGTTTTTGTTGAACTTTAAATCTGCTCCATTTCTCTCCCCCTCAGCCTCACTGTAGGTTATGTGTTTTTCCCTGATGGGAGGAAGGCTGGCATTGAGTGGTCCAACGCCTCTCTGGCTGAGATGGCTGAGGATGGTGTTATCCAGGATGAGTATGGAGTCAGTTTTACTGCTGGTAAGCTAAATGTGGTCCATCTGCCTTCAGCTTTTTGGGATGAAGTTAACTTAGTGGAGGAAAGACTATTCAGTGAAATTCCATGTGATCCTGGGGGCAAATTCAAGAGCTGAATGCATCGTCTTGCACCTTAAAAAATTTATGTAGAATCATAAACCCATGGAATGGTTTGGGTTGGAAGGGGCCTTAGAGATCATCCACTTTCAATCTCCTACCATGGGCATTCCTGTGCTAAAGTTAAGTTATAAGTGTGGTGTGTCATGGGTAGAACTGTGTGCCCACTACAGGATCAGGATCCCAGGCATCTGAACCAGAGGGAGAGTTACAGATTCTTTGTGCTGACTGTTACTTATGTGCTAGTCCACATCAGTTATGTGATTTTCAATTTTGGATGTCAAAACAAATGTTATGAGGTGGATTCAGCTGGAAATATGGTTGATCAAAGGTTTTACTTAATTTACAAAGCAGCAGAAGAACAATTACTCTTTAAAAAGAAACAGCACACAAAAATAATAGACATTGGGATTTTTGGAGGTAAAATACTGCTGAAGGTTGAAGACATTCTTCCCTTTTTGCTCTTATCCAAGGTGGCAAGGACTTTGCTGTCTCTGCAGTGCTGGATAAGCAGACCTGCCCCGTGGTGTTCAATGGCCTGGTGGGAAGTGGCGTTTTCCATGAGTGCATTGCAGATTTCCGACTGGATGGGTCAACACAAGGCTGGGGCTTGGTTGAATTTTATTACAGGTAAAATAATGACAAGCAAGAAGAGGTAAAGAACTCCCATTCTCCTATATCGACCTCTGTGGCTCCATAGATATTTGAAGCATAAATGCGCAGATTTTTTACCTGATGTGACAAAATATCATTCCTTTAGTGCTTAATATGTTTATTAAATTGACAAACACTCCATATTTTATAAAAGGAATGATTGTGCAAGCACTGCATACTTGAAACCAAACCATGGGCACTTGTTCAGTTGTTTGTTATAAAGGTTTGTGTAGGATCTTATATAGGTGTCCATATAGGTTTATGAGTTGGATGATCCATTTTGGACACTGCGTTATTCTGCCCCATGATTGTCACAGTCTTTTACTGGAGTCTTTTTCTCTATGGAGTCTTTTCTCTCATGAAAAAAAAGGCAAATTTTGTTGTTTACATTTATTTTGCTTTTTAAAATAAACACAAATCCTTGGCTGTCAGAGGAAAGGCCATAGATGGCTTTCAGCAGATCGAGAGCTCAACTGCTTCTGAAAACCAGAAATGCATAAAGCACATAAAACAGGCCACTGAACTGCCAAACACCCCCTGGTTGAACTAGAATGTGAAGTTGCTGCCAGGTACCTGCTCCCCTCCCTTTGCTCACTGTCCAAACCTGCACGGGGGGAGGAAATGACCCAGCACAGAAAGTCTCTGATAAAACCCAAACAGGGCACGTTCTGCAAGCCCAGACAGTCCTGGATGTTTCTGAATCCGCCCCAGGAAGGTTTAATTTGGCAATGCTGACAAAGTTCCCATCTCATATCTGCTTCCAAATCAAAACCATGTTAGAAATGAAAGGGTGGGTGTCTGGTTCTTCCTCTTTGCCACGAGACGCCAACTCAGCGTCGCTGCTCTTCTTACAGGGACGAGGCCGCCCAGCTGGTTCCGAATTTGCAGCTTGGTCCCAAAACTTAAGGACCTCACCCTGCCACTGATGCCTCTCTCCCCCATGATCATCTACAAGCTTGTCCCAGCAATGTTAGCAAGCAGCAGCTTTCCAAAAAAGTATTATTCTCTGCAAAACGCACTGGTTTGAGTGCGGAACTCGTCACCGGATGCCGTGGAGGTCGGGGGTATAAAAGGATTTGGAGAGAAATGAGATATATTTTTATTAGAGCAGTTCTTAATGGTTGCTAACCATGGTGGTCTGGAGGCAGTTTAAAGGAGAGCTCTGAGCAGCTGATTGCAGGAGGAGTGCTCTGGGAGGGATCACCCCACGCTCTGTCCCTTGGTGTTGTTCCTAAACTGCAGCTGCTCCCAAACTGCAGCTGCTCCCCACCATAAAGCCCAGGACCCCAGGCTGTGTGGATCTCTGACCCAACTTAGCACCTCTTCTGTTCTTTCAGGTTTGTTTTTGAAATAAAATCTGTATCTTTCTGAATTCTCTCATTGTTGTAGTCATTAAAATGTGGGGAAAAGCTACTGCAGGAAACTCCATTGATTTGATAGTCTTGTATAAGGGATGAAGTGGAAGAAGCAGCAGAAAGCACATCTAAATGAGGTGTCCTCTAGGAATAGCACTAATGGTCAATGAAATAAGTGGTATAGACACGTTTTCCTCTTGTCTGAAGGGAAGCCAGGGTCTGGGAGTCCAATTTAGAAAGGATCTGAATTTCTCATCATTCATTGTAGATGCCATAATAATCCCAGCACCCACGTTAGTCACTGAGAGCTGCTGGCCCAAGGTAGCCTGCAGTGTGTTCCCTACCCAGATGCATCTTGCCATTAAGTACTGAAAATTAAACATACTTAAAACATGTCAAAAAATAGTTAGGTGAAAGATCTGGAGAAGAGAAATTAAGGAAAGATGCCTTATAATGCCATTTAAGTTATAATGCCACTCCATTTAAGAAAATGATGAAATCTGTGTGCAGATATATATATATATAATCTCTGTTTAGGTTGACACTGGAGGAGATTTTATTAGAATTAAAAGAAGACTTTTTACTTTTTAATAGTTCCTACACTTATTGCTACAACAGCATTTTATGCAGAATAAGTGCATGAATATGAAATTATTCCACCTGCATATACCACGGCAGAGACTGCATGTTCCAGCTTGGGATGCATCACTGGACAGGTGAGATGATGCAAGAAACAGCCTGATATGATTAAACACGTTGATTTTATCAGTCTCTCCAGCAGTTGTGCAGTGGGATGGAGAGATTCCCACTCCCTGATTTATAACCTTGTCTCTGTTCTGTTCTGCCTGTGAGCTGGACCACAACACTTGTGCCCCTCCTTCCACCCCAAACCATCTCTGTCTGTGCCAAGCTGACTTACAGTTGCATTTCTTTTCGGGTAGTCCTTGATTGAGAGCTTTGGATTTTAACTGGACTTCTATAAACACTTCTCTAGTTACAGTGGTATTAAGAACCACATTCTTGCAAGTCTTGCACAAACTCAAAGATGTCTTAAATCTGTCTGTGCACTCGTGGTCTCCATGTGCCGAAACAGGGAGCTTCTAAATTACTTGAGACAATGGTACTTTGACAGGAGGGAAGGCCTTATGCCTCTTTTTACACATAAGAAATCAGTCAAATAGGTAATTTTAGAAAGGTTAGAAAAATAACTATGTTATACATCACAGTTTGGTCCTACTAAGTATGTGGCTTGTTTTGCTATGATCTCAGGAACATCTGTTCCTTTTTTTCTGTGGAGTTCTTGTCATCTCTTTCCCTTTCTTTTATTTCTTGAAGACTAAAACATTAACATTTAAAAGGAGGAATACAGGCACATCATCAAGCAAAGTCTTTGAAGGTGTCAGAGAATATAGATAACAAGAAAAAATGTTAGTTAATACTCTGGAAGGATAGTTTGAGAAATTGCTGTAAAAAAAGTTCCCTGTCCAGGCCAAAAATTAAAAAAGCATCCCAGCAAGAAAGGTATTGGTGTGACTGTTTCCTACTTGCAGAAACTGGGCTATGAACTGGGGATGTTGTGGGGAAAAAGGGTGGGTTTTTCCCCCAAATTTTGGGCTCTGAAGTTCATGTTCCTGCAGTGGAGGAGGCAGAGGAGGATGACGTAGCCTTCATCGCCCTCCTCTTGTCCTCTTTCCTTGTTTCTTTTGGTACCAGTGGATGGAGAATTAGAGCACCCCTGAGTTCAGTTTGGAAAAGTTCAAGCAGGGTACAGAAAATGATTAATAAAGTTTGGAGCTGGCAGGTTTATTTGCCAGGTGATGAACTACTGGGTCGGTATTTCAGCTCAGAGGACTGAAAAAATGGACTGTCGGGGGTTTTCTCCCTGGATTTCAAATTACTTTATAGAGAGCTTGTGTCCAGGACACATGGAATAACTTATTTAATTTAAAATAAATCTACCAAGCCCCACGCTTTGACCATATGAAGTGGTCCTTCTCTTGTGGCTCCTTTCTCGGTGGAAAAATCCATCTTGGGAAGTGCTTCTGCAGCCCGAAAACATTAATTTTGAGCATAAAAAAAGCAATAAATGGAGGTAAGTCCTGGCCAGAAGTGAAATGTAGCATGTGATCTGCTCTCATCCAGCATGAAGGGAGGCAGCTGGAGCCTCCTTGGGATGAGCTGCTTTCCAGCATCTGTGTTTTGCACGTCTGGGAGGAACTGAACACCTGTAATTCCTGCTGCTGTCAATGGGCCAGCGCCTGACACGGCAAAATCCCTGCACGTCCCACTGGAGCTCCCATGCATGTGAAATTTCAAGATTCAGGCCCTTGGAAAGAGGTCATTTAAAGGCTGTCAGCCCCAACTAAGCATTTTCCATCAATCTGCCCTTGGCTACTGATGTCTAGAACGGTAAATATTTTACTACGCTTATTTATTCTCCTTCCTTTCTGCAATTTTTCATGTGTTCATAGTATAGATATAAAGGCCATTTTCAGTGACATTATATTTCACTGGTAGAAAGAAAGGAAGGAAAAAAGTCTTTTTTCTATTGGATTTATGTTTGTAGCTTTACAGTTGGTGAGGCAAAGTGTAGCCCAGGGAGCTCTGTAATTTATCAAAAAATGCACTATATGGCCAAATTATCTCTACAAAGGAACTAATTATTTCAAAAGTAGACTTTTCCCTCCATAAGAACGTGCTCAGCAGTCAAATAACTCAAAGACATTCCAGACAAAGTGACTGATAACCAAGCACTCCCTTCTCCCATTTACTGGAACCCCGACTCCCTCATGCTCACTCTTGTTTACCATAAAAAGTCACATTTCCATCCAAAATTACCCTTCCCTAAACTGTAGCTTTTTTATTGTTGCTCTCCTAACAGACTGCAGGCCTAGGTGTCTGAAGCAGGGTCTCCAAAAGGAGACCCTTTGGTGCTTTTTGGGTCCCCCTCTTTCGAGGTACTTCCCTTTCCCTGTCAAAGCTGTAATTAGTTACAGCATTGATTTTTGCTTTTATTCTGCATAAAAAAAATCTTTAATAAAACCACAGTGCAAGTGAAGTTCATTCTAATCTGGCCATAAAATTTTACGAGTGGTGTAAATCAAGGGGAGGAGTGGCAGCTAATGCTCTGGAACAGTTGGGCCCTGCTCAAACTTTCTCAGTGGAGTTAAATCCCTCCAGGAGCGATTAGCCCAACAAGCTGTTTGGTCCACTTATAAACAACGTCACTGATGGAGACATCTGAAGGTGTCTGCTCCGTGCACAAGAGACTTTCCAAGTATGCTGAATGGTCAATGACCTGGTTTTTTCTTAATCCACAGCATGGGGGTGGAAATGCAGATCTGACATGTCTTGGCAGCTTCGTTCATGTATTTATCATGTTTTCCAGGAAGGATGGAGAGGGGAAAGTAGGAGTGCCATGATCAACTGGAATGTCCTCTTACAGTTCTTGGTAGCTTGTCTTAAGTGCTGATCTCAAATGCTTTGGTCAAAGTAGCCTAGAAATGGCCCTGGGCTCAATAAACCTGGGAATGGTTCATGGCTCAGGTCCTTGTCACAAGCCTGGTGAGGGATTCTTGCTGCTGTAGGTGTTAGAAATGGATTTGCAGAAGAAGATCCGTCAGATGATGGATCACAATCTTTTCTTTCTGAAAAGTTACCCCAATTATGCACACTTGCTACCTTTTGAGTAACCTTCTTTAACCTTTAAACCTCCCTTTTGGATGAGGCACAGGAAATTCCACTGTTTGTTGCTTTTGCTGTCAGCCCTAAATGTCCTTCGAGTAAGGGCTGGATAATTGGTTGATAAAGAATGAAAAAAAAATTAATTACAAAGTTTAAGAATATTTAATAGTGTTTTGAACAGATGAGGAGTGGGAAAAGCTCCGAGGTTACACAATGTGCTGTGCCGCTGGGTGTCTTTACTAAAGCATCCAGATCTCAGTGTTTCCTTTCCCAGTCTTGTTTCTGCTGTTATTCTAAGGCCTGTAGGCTTCTACCACATGTTTATAAGCTGATAAAACCATAATGCCAGGAATGTTTTCCTTCCTCTATTAGATTAACAAAATAAGTGACTTTTCAGATATAGCTTTATTTACCATACTCTCCACACCAAAACAATAGTTGTGAATAAATGTCATAATTTGTGGAGAGGTGAGAAAATAAGAGTCTCTTGGCCTAACTGCTGATGTATCTGTGCATCTCTGTGTGATGAGAAATGTTCTGCTCTCCTGACACACTGTCCTTGTGGGAGCCCTGGTATCACACCACTGCTTTGCTGGGCTGGCAAACCTCAGCAGTGACAGGAGGGGTGACATCATGTTCAGCCCAGATATCTTAGAATAAATCCCATCAGACATTACTGAGCCCTCCGTTGAGCAATTCATAATTGTACATGTCAGGCAGCTTTCTGATGACATGAGGTTTGACTCCCGGTAAGGCAGAGCAGCCGCACAAAATGCTTTTCATGATGAAGAGGGAGGATTTTAACTGATTTCTACTGAGATTTTCCCAAAGCCATAAATACGCTCCTCCTGATCTGTCGCGCACTCGGAGGAGCCATGTGTTGTGTGGGGCTTTCAGAGCAAACACCGACAGGGGGAAGTTTTGGGGATGGGGAAGAGCCTTGAGCCATCAGAGCCAATTACACTAAACTCCCAAAATACATAAAGCATTTCATCAAGGGAGATCAAAGTGCCTTTCATGGGAAGGAAGAGCTATGGTCTGTCTTTTACCCACGGGAAAACTCTGGGGAAGAAATTGTCTGGCCGATTCTATAGCAGCATTCTTTGAATGTTAACCCCAGAGTTTATGTTCCTCACAGCCTCCTGTGAGCTCTGCCCAGACCTACAGCAGCCTTTATGCTTTTCAGGGTGGAGCGTGGAGCAGGCAAGATGAAAAAGGGGGGAAAGCTGGCAAAGAAAACCCCAAAATATGGTCAAACCTGTAAATGAAACCTGTAGATACCTAGTGAGTAAATGCTGTGCAATTGCCCCCAGTAAAATAGTTTAAATG